CCCAAAATACTTTTGACTTGATAGACTGAGCTTCCTGAGTAGAAGGAACGTCCTTTATCCATCTCTGGATCCCTGGTCATCGTCACAGTGCCTAGCACAGGCGGTGCTGACCCGAGGCCAAGCAACGTGCGTGTGCGCCGGCCCCAGCCTCACCGCCCTTCTCTCACAGGGCCTGGCAGAGATGCCTTAATCCAGCCCAGACCGTGGCAACTTTTTCTGTATTAGTTTTTTATTTCTTAAAATTCTTCAAAATTCATTAAAAGGTATCCTAATAACTTGGCAACTACTCAAATAATTAGACAATTATACTTTATTAATTGTACTGTAGTAGGCTCATTAAAGATTAATCCTTAAAAGGTGACAATTCTGCCCTCTAGGAACTTAAGTTCTATGAAGACAACAGTGATAAGTAAGTAACAAATACACATATTAAACAAAAATTATTTTCTTTCCCTCTCTCCTCTCAACACATACACTCGTGCGCACACACTGTGTTTATATTTTTCATCTTCTGTATGTTACAATGTTTTGACATCTTAAAAACCTTTCTGGCTGGGGAGACCACGCCCCTCCGGACATCCGGTTCTTAGAGACCACGAAGGGCTCGGCCTGGAGCAGGCCTCCCACACACAGTGACCCATGCAGAGCCGGCCTCCGCCGGCCCCCGCCGCAGTACCCCCCTCAGCAAACAACCCCACCAACCAGGCCCACCACCAGGCGGCGGACCACCCCTGCAGCTTAGAGCCTGCCCGAGTTGCTCAAGACTAGCCAGTCCTCACCCATTACCACGCCCTGGCTTGCCTTTCCCAAGGAAACCCCAATAAAGGGTCCAGCCTGGGCTTTTCCTTGCTCCCGACCACCTGGCGGCTTCCACGTGTGGCCCCGCGTGTGTGGCGCAGCCCTTGTTTCCCGTACCTGTGAGTATAATAAACTTTGCTTTCCAGACTCCCCTGTGTCTCCTCTGTGTCCCCACCTGACTGACCGTCACATAGGAGAACACACGAACACACACACGCTCAGAAACATACGTGGTTTTGAAGATTTAATTTAGGCCATCACTTTATACTACACCTACAACGTGAGATAGTTTGCCCCTCATCGTGTTCGCCCTTCGGAATCTATTATACGGATCCTTCAAGGCCCAGCAAAAATGCCCCTTTTTTACGTGGAGTTTTCCCACGTAAAATTAATTCTTCCCAATGAACTCGCCCGTCTGTGACTATTTAGAACTTACTTTGCTCTTCTTCATTTACGTTTCAGTCACCATCTCTCAGTACACTGTAAGCTCAGTTACAACGGTGTTCTATTCATCTTTATGCCCCGGCAGATTTGTCGTTATACTGTTGACATGAAATGCAAATGTCTAATTAGTGTATAGACTGTGCTTTTCTGTAAAAATCAAATACGTGTTGCTGTATACATAATGTCAGTTGCTCCAACCATGAGATAAATAATGGAAGAAATTATTCCTTCTGCCAGATTACTCTGTTAGCAACTTTTAAGTATACAACATATTAACTATAGTTATCATAATGTACGATAGACCTCTTGAACTTATTACTCCCGTCTAACTGGAATTTTGTATCCTTTGGTCAGCATCTCCCCAATCCTCTCCCCTCCCTCAGCCCCTGGCAGCCACCATTCTACTCTCTGCTCCCGTGAGTTTGACTTTTTTGGATTCCACGTATAAGTGAGATCATGCAGTATTTGTCTTTCGGTGCCTGGTTTATTTTGCTTAATGTAATGCCCTCCAGGTCCACCTATGTTGTTGCAAATTGCAGGATTTCCTTCTTCAAAGCTGAATAGCATTCCATCGTATATATGCGCCACATTTTCTTTATCCATTCAGCTGTTGATGGACACTTAGGTTGGTTCCATATCTTGGCTATTGTAAATAATGCTGCAGTGACCATAGGGGTGCTGCTATCTCTTCAACATACTGATTTCATTTCCTTTGGATAAATACCCAGGAGTGGGATTGCTGTATCATATGGTAGTTCTATTTTTAATTTTTTGAGGAAGCTCCATACTGTTTTCCATAACGGATATGGCAATTTACATTCCTACCAACAATGTACAAG